ACATGCATATTCATCAAAACCTAAGCTACATTTTGATAAAATTTTATGTGTAGTTATTATGCGCGTTTCTGTATAATTAGTAAAAACAGGTGTCCGGATACTTTTGTCCAGGGTGTGTATATATACAACCAAAAATCAAAATTAAACATAAATGATGATCATCTACAAATACCAATTCATCTATCATTACGAATTCATCTATTCCGCCACCATCATTAACACCAGATATTTTCTGAAACATTCCTTCTGATATTGTATTGATATTCAAACCAAATGTATTCATTTTATTCGTCGACGATAATCCTTAACGAAAAAATAGTTTCTTCCCATTACTCAATGGTTAAAATGGAATATTTAAAGGATGCGCGGAGCTTTGCCTGTTACTATACTTATGCATCTTCTTTTTCTAAAATCCTAAAGTTTCGATTATAAAATACGATTAAAAACTTTGGAAATTTTGCAAAACGACAAAATCAGTAACAACAGGAAATTGGATACATCCTCTTCTTTTTAAAAAAGCGGGATATATAGGAAGTTTGATCTATATTTGGGATTAAAGCTAACTTTTTTACGAGGAGATGAAGAATCATTCTGTTGTATTGCATGTCGTTTTATCCACATGTGAATCTCGTATAAATATATATTAATATAATACATTTTTAAACAATTATTGTAATAGCGCGGAATCTCCTATTGCTGCGCTGCGCTGCAAAATTTGATTATTTTTTTAAGAGAATTTCCAAAATTCACATTATTCATGTAATTAGAAAAAAATTATTTTAAAAAATTATTTATTAATAATAATAGATTTTCTTGAGTTAGAACTGACGAATTTGCAATTTGTCAAACACTTGATAGTTAAAATCATTATCAAAAGCATTAATTCGTTGTCAGGTGATAATTCAGATTCATCTTCTGAACCAATTATTATCTCAGAGTCATAAACTGTTTATTCTAGAGTTTAAAGAATTGTTATCAACAAAATCTTGATGGTTTAGAGACTTTTACATTTTTTTAATAGATTATTTTGATATTTAGGAGGAGTTGTAAAGCATTACTTTACATTTCAATATATAATTAAAATCATAATTTATTTGAACACGTGCGAAAAATGAATTAACTTTGAAATGATTCTTTGTGAATATAAGAAACCCACAATAAATAATTTTTTTTTCCCAAAATCTTTCCATTACATTAAAGCTAGAGGGCTAATCTATCAATCTATGGAGTTAAACTTTTAAAATACTTGAGTCATATGTTTTCAAAAGTCATACAAAATCTAGGAGTATCTCGTTATAGAATGAGGTATGAACCACTAATTGTAATGTTTACATCTTTAAGATGGAATTTTGATTCCTTAAAATCAGCTTTATCATTCTTTTTGAAGATGATTCTTTTTCAATATTAAAAAATCAATAAGTTTATTAATTAAATTTTATTATAATATTAGATGATACTAGCATTCCAAAAATATAAAATCTGAAGTTGAATTTTATTTGACACTGCAAAAGAAGAAAATCCACTCCTTTTGTGGAATCAGAAAAAAGTAGTCCTACCAAATCTAGCGGTTCAAGCTAGGGAATATTTAGCTATACCAGCAACCTCAGTTCCATTTGAGAGGTTGTTTTCCTCAACTGGTAACATCTTCACAAAAAAAAGAAATAGATTGAACCAAAATAATATACTGTTTTTGAGAGAAAATTATAAACTTTTTGATCAATAAGTTGGTTAATTTTTTTAATTTTTATATTAATCGATTTTTTATTATGTTTTTTAATTGAATTTCTCAATAAGAATAAATAATTCATTTGATCAAATGTTAGCTGGCTAGAATTTTTTACCATGTTCAATTTATTTATTTTTGGATGCAAATTTCTGATTGGCCAATTTAAATTTCACGCACAACGTTTATATTAGTAAAATAATAAAAAACCCCGATTTTTAGTGAATTTATACAAAGTATGATATTTGTCTACTAAATTATTAGATAAAAAATTTATTCAAGTTCTTAGCCGGCTAAGGGTTGAACGGCTTAGCTTGCTAAGGTTTTTCTACCGGCTAACATCACTAGAATTTTTTGCATAAAGGTTGGCAATTAGCAATTTTTGTGACATTTTGCCCCAAAATTTATTATAAAATGCAATCTTTTCTTTCATTCATTCGCGTATCACAAATCAAAGAACCTAAGCTGCAAAATAATGATATTTATTGTTTTCGTGTTATAACGAATCTTTAAACATTTTGCTTTCACACATAAAAACATATAAAGTTAGTTGAAACGCGCCTCCCATAGATTCGTTGGAACAAGGTTTGACTGTATACGGAGTTTGCTTAAAAATTTTAAATATCGAATTTTTCATTTTTTCCAAAATCCTTTTTCATTTATCCCATATCTTACTCATGAGTGTAAGCAACCTTTGAACATTTGGAGGAATGCTCATGATCATACAGATAATAATAAGAATAATAAGGATAAGAAAAAGAAACAATAAGATACAACGGAATTAAATTGGTGCGACGGTAAAGTGAGACATTTTGTCATTCTATAATTAAAAAACGATTGAGTATTAGTTAATTTTCTTATGATTATTATAATGATGTCGATCCTTTCCGTTTATCTTCAATACGCGCCTAAAAGTAAATAACCGTTTGCATTTTTTCTTTGTTCTTTGTTGTTTGTTGTCGTCATATTATTCATTTTATGTATGATATACGATACACAGCCCACTCACGATCAACAATCAATTTCTTGTTTAATTAACATTAAATCGAATACTTAAAGAATCCATAATTCTAAAACAACTGGTCTACTATAATTTTTTTATAAATTCCTTAACTACATACAATTTGAAAAAAAAAACCACAATTGCTAAGAATTAACTGAACAAATCAAAATGAAATTCAATATTTTTCTTCTCTTTTTGACCATCTTTGCTGTTGTTGCTTTAGCAAATCCAATGGTTGATAACAATAATTTGAAGAAGCGATGTATTTTCATTTAATTATAGTCAAATATCATTGTTTTTGAAAAAAATACTAACTAATGGTCTTCATTTGATTTTAAATAATAAATAGCTCCGTAAGTATTTTTGTACTATTATTACAGTCAATATCGTTGTTTTTGAAAACATATTAATCATTGGTTTCCATTTTATTTTAAATAATAAATAGACCGGTAAGTTACTATTATTACAGTCAATTGTTTTTGAAAACATATTAACTGCTAATTTTTATTTTATTTTAAATAATGAATAGAGTGTAAGTATTTTAATCATTACTATTATTTCGGTCATTATCATTGTTTTTGAAAACATACTAACTGTCGATTGATTTTTATTTTATTTTAAATAATGAATAGACTGTAAGTATTTTCATCATTATTATCATTACACTCAATATCATTGTTTTTGAAAATATATAACTGTTGATTGATTTTTTGATTTATTTTAAATAATAAATAGCAAGTAAGTATTTTCATCATTTACTATTATTACAGTCAATATCATTGTTTTTGAAAACATATTAACTGTCGATTGATTTTGTTTTATTTTTTAAATGATGAATAGCCTGTAAGTATTTCCATCATTACTTTCATTACACTCAATATCATTGTTTTCGAAAACATATTAACTGTTGATTGATTCTCGTTTTATTTTAAATAATAAATAGAAAGTAAGTATTCTCATCATTTAATATTGTTACAGTCAATATTAAGAATGGTTGACGAAATACTTTGCAAGGCGGGGAATTATTTCGTCGCATTTGACGAAAAGTGACGGAATGTGACGAAATTGACGAAATTGAAGTTGACCAATTAAACCGACCAAATTTTCATAATCAATCATCAAAAGTATGGCTAAATATTGATTCATATACATCAATATAGTGATGTCACCAAAAAAATGATTTAGATTCGAAACCCTTTGTCTTATCATCATTATCGTGATAAAAAAGAATTGAGAATAATCACCGTGGTAAATATCAAACGTTACTCTACATATTAATGTTAATATTGAATTGCCATATAAAATGTCATGTGTAACACAATTATTAAAATTATTAAAACCCTAGGTCTTTAAAAAAAGTACTTTGAGCATATGCGTCGGATTTTGTTTGAACTTCAAAATTCAATATAGTATGGTCATGACGTTATGGATATCATATACAAGCAATAATCCATTAGTTTTGAGGTAGTGCCGTTGGTTTGACGAGCTATTGAATAGTAAAATAATTTTTTGGTGGAGCAAATGAATTTTTTAAGGTTAATATCCCTCTACTGACTAGTTACACACACACAATAAGATATACATGTAAGCTCATTAAGTCGGAAATTATTTAAATAAATAAGTGACTGACTTATCGAGTTTACATGTGTGTAGGGTTTGAAAGAAGGGCCCAAAAAACAAATCGGCTGATGTGGTAATTACATATTACCAGCAATTTTCCCATTACTATCCTTGTCCAAAGTTGATGCATGATGCTAGTATATTGGCCAAAATTTTTGCACTATATAAAGACAATCAAGATATGTATAGGAATCAATCGTCCGTCACGTCACTAAAATTTATTATTTAGTGATCAGCAAGTATCACAAGTATCTGATTTGATTGACCAAATCAATTTCGTCAATTTCGTTTCGTCAAAAAATCCTTGGCGATAAATATGAATTTCGTCATGTACAATTACGTTAACCATTCTTAGTCAATGCATTGTTTTTTTTGAAAAAATATTAACTGTTGATTGATTTTGTTTTATTTTAAATAATAAATAGGAAGTAAGTATTTTCATTACAGTCAATATCATTGTTTTTGAAAACATATTAACTTTGATTGACTCTCGTTTTATTTTAATTAATAAATAGATTGTAAGTATTTCCATCATTACTATCATTACACTCAATATCATTGTTTTGTAAAAATATTAACCGTTGATTGTTTTTGGTTTATTTTAAATAATGAATAGGAAGTAAGTATTTTCATCATTACTACCATTACAGTCAATATCATTGTTTTTGAAAAATATTAACCGTTGATTGTTTTTTGTTTTATTTTAAATAATGAATAGGAAGTAAGTATTTTAATCATTATTATCATTACAGTCAATTGTTTTTGAAAACATATTAACTGCTAATTTTTATTTTATTTTAAATAATGAATAGGGGAGTAAGTATTTTCATCATTACTATCATTACACTCAATATCATTGTTTTGAAAACATATTAACTGTTGATTAATTCTTGTTTTATTTTAAATAATAAATAG